CAATTCCCAGGTTCACCAAAAGAGAGAGAGAGAGAGAGAAGAAAAAAAACATATTTAACAGAATAATCAGATGCCAAAGAAGAGAAAAATCTGTGCACTGATAGAAAAATCAAAAGAATTATACAGTCTACAGTGAAGAGAAATAGAAGGAAAGGAAAAAAAGAAAGTCATTAACAGACATCACAGATAAAGCATGTCAAACATATATCTAATTAGAGTTTCAGAGGTGAGGAGACAGAATGGGGGAGTAACTGTATTTTACGACAGATTTTCTAATTATCCCGACAAATTTCACCCACAGATTGAAGAATTATTCTCCCTCAAATTAAAGGCAGATATAATTTTTTAAAAGTTAACACCTAAATAGATAATCTGAACTGGAGCACACCAAAGGTAATGTGAAAATATTTACAGCTAGCTAAGAAACAAGACAAATTCCCCTGAACAGACTGAGCGGGCAGCCACAGCAGCCACGGGCCAGAGGGTGACAGCATTGTGTATCTAAAGCATCGGACGAAAACAGCTACCACTATGGAATTTTTCCCAGAAGAGATATTTTTGGAGGATGAGAAAAAGATAATATTTTCAGACAAATAAAAAGGAAGACAATTTGCCCTCAGAATACCCTCACCGAAATAAATTCTAAAATATTTAAGGCAATAGGAAATAATCTCAGGTAAAAGATCAAAGATAAAGAATTAAAACCAAACAAAATGGTAAATATATAGGTAAATCTAAACATATTTTCTCTATAAAATAATAACCACAATCTTGTTTGTATTTAAAAAAAGAACCCAAGACATATGTACATATGCAGTAGCATATACCTTGGGAAGAAGGCACGTGGGTTATTCCAAGCCCTTCTGTTTCTGAGACAAGGGTAAAACAGATGCAGTAACAGCAGTTTCTAGGTTTGCTCAGGCACTAAAACCAAACAAAGTAAGATTCCCAGAATCCATAGCTTTTATGGTAGTGTAGGGGGAAATACAATGATCCTTAACAGCTACTCTTAAATAATCAAAAAAGGACAGAAAGTACACATATAAGGGGAAGAATAGGTAGAAAGTACAAAACACATCCGAGTGTGGTGGAGCAGGCCTCCGATCCTGGCCACTGGCAAGCTATGACAGGAGGATTATTGCAAGTTCAAGGCCAGCCTGGGCAACTCAGCAAGACCCTGTCTTAAGATAAAAAATGTTTAAAAGGATATGGATTTAGTTCAATACAAGGACTGTGGGTTCACTCACCAGTACCACAAAAAATGCAAAATAAAGTGATTTTTAAAAAGAAATCCATAGGAGTCAGAGGATGGCTCAGTAGAATAAGTGCTTCCCTCGCAAGCACAAGGACCTGAGTTCCATCCCTGGTTCCGCCAAAAATAAATAAACAGATAAATAAATAAAATTTAAAAAATAAAAAGAAATCCATAGAATATCAGATGTTCACCAGTGACAAAAACTGTCAAGTTGGGAAAAGAAATGTAACTCTATGCTATTTTAAAGAGACTGGGCGTGGTGGCATGTGCTTGGGAGGCTGAAAATAGGAGGATCGTTACTAGTCCAATCTGTGTAGTGAGACCCTGTAGACCCTGTACTAAATACATAAAAAAAAGAGACATTTAGTCATATCAGGGATCAAACATCAGGCCTTTGCACTTGCCAGGCAAGCACTTATTCCACTGAGCTATCGCCCTAGCCCCCAAAAAAGAGACATTTAAAATGCATAAAGTTATAGAAAGATTGAAAGTTAAAGGATGAAAAATTACATTCTATGCAAACACCAACCAAAAGAAATCAGTACGCCTATATAAGTAATAGAAAATAAAGGCTTTCAGGCAAAATGTACTGTCGGCAATAGTCACTTTATACTCATCTAATAAGATTACTTCAAAATGCAAAGGGCAACTCCATGGTGGTGGTGGTGGTGGTGGTGGTGGTGGTGGTGTGTGTGTGTGTGTGTGTGATACTGGGGACTGAAATGAGAATCTTTGCACTCAGCTGCAGCCCCTTTAATTAATTAATTAATTAATTTATTTTTGAGACAGGGTCTCTCTAAATCACCAAACTGCCCAGGCTTGGCTTGAGCCTGCTGTCCTCCTGCATCAGCCTCCCACGGCGCTGGTATCAGAGGCCTGAACCACTTTGCCCATCTGAGGCAACATTTTAAGTGAGGGGAATTTTGTAATATGTTAGTGGAAGTCTCAAAAAAGTGAGATTATCCTGCAGTTTTCCCTTCTTATATTGTCCTTGTCAAATTAATTCTAGCCTCAGAATAGTCTCATTCATAAACAGAAAGGAAAAAAATCTGCATAATAATTAGCAGCAAAACCCAGGTTTGTGTCAAAATCATATTCCAGGATGTCTATATTCCGAGCAATGTCTAAATTGGGCATATAACAGGAATGCAAGGTTTTTTTTCTTTTTTTTTTTTTTTTTTACAGAACCGGGGATTGAACTCAGGCCCTTGCACTTGCCAGGGAAGCACTTATTCTATTGAGCCTGGGCCCGCAACTTAGTTTTAATCTTCGACAACTGCTAGAATATATGACATAAAAAATCAAGGGATAGAATCATGCAATCATTTAATAGACTCAGAAAAATTGTTTTAATAATTTAAATTCACTCCTGATAAATTGGGCATGGAGGGAAACTTCCTTTAATAGGTAATACTGTCCCCAAAACACCTATAGCAAACATAATACTTAGGGGTGAAATGTTAGAGTTTTTCCTTTAAGATAACAATCAAGTCTAGAATGACCAACTTCACCATTTCAGTTCAGCATTGTACTAAAGGTCTGACATGAAAAACAAGGTAAGAAAATGAGGTAAAGAGATATAAAATTTGGAAATGAAAACACAAACTGTCTTTACTTGCCCAGGATATGACTATAGAGAGAGAAAATGCAAAAGAATTTGCAAGTAATTTTTTAAAGCTAGAAAATTTAGCAAAAAATATATAGGGCAATTACATGCAAAATCAACACATAAAACTAGTTATATTTTCCTATAAAAGCAACAGAAAACTGATGTAAAATGCACTATTTACTATACTCAAAATGTTCAGTATTTCTGTCGTAAATAAATAGCAAAAGATGTACAAGCCTCTGTAGAGGATAATTAAACTCCCATGAGAAATTTTAAGGGTCAAAATAAATGGAGAGAAATAGTCATGCTCATACATTAGAAGAATATTTATTATCTGAGACAGGTACTTCAGGTTGGCATTGAACTCACTATATGTGTAGCCCAGGCTGGCCTCCAACTCATGATGACCCTCCTGCCTCTGTGTCCCGCTGTGTGGGATTATAGGTGTGTACTGCTTTGCCCTGCTAAGATTAACTTTAAAACTGAACTCCACTGGAGTTCATAATTGACTCCAATGAAAGGTTTCAAATGAAACCTGTGTTGTATTCCTCACACCTTACAGTAGCAAGCCACTAGATAAGCAGGCAAGTTACGGAAGAGGACATCGAGGTGGGCGGTCTGCGCAGGCAACGGTGGGATTCAAGCGCATCTGACGCCTAGACCAGCAAATCCGAGACGTGTGAATGTGCCACGTGGTGGCTAGGATGAGAACAGGGCCTCTAAACACTCCAAGCAAGATTAGTGAAAGGGAAGGAAAACACACCCTCTCACCCTGCGGTTTGATTTTGGTAATAACGTGGAGCATTACCACACTATTTGTGCAGAAGTGTGCCAGCAGTTGTGTAAAAGAAGTATCCGCAGCTACATTCTTTGGTATAGCTAAAAATATAAAGATGTTCCCCTAGCCATCAATAATGGGCTGAAGAGTGTACTGAGATAGTCACCTGTGGGAATACTATACGGTGAAGAAGAATGATGACCCAAATGTGGAAGAATTTTACGGATACAGTTTTGTGGTATGTGCTTCCAGTTTGTATGATCTTTCATACACTTCAGTTGTTAAAAGGCTGTGATGCTGAATTGGGGGAAACACTCCCCTGGCCCTGTCCTGCTTTGGAACCCTCTGGGGTGGGGTTTTGTGAGTGTCAGGAGACTTGGGCCTAGCTGATGATGCTTTAAAGTAGGAATCCAGCTACGCCAACAGCGAGGCCTCTGGGGTCCCAAGGTGGGCTGAGTGGAGGGGACTGTTGGGAAGCAGTCCTTTGTGGCCAGTAGAGCCACTGTCCCAGGCAGAAGCCCATGTCTCTTCACTGTTTGTGATTCAGACTCTCACTGTTAAGATCCAGATTCATTTTTTCTCCTGAAAATAATTTTGATTTGGATTTTGTGCAGGGTCTCACTACACCACTCAGACTCAGTGATCCTCCTGTTTTCAGCCTCCCCAGAGCTGGGACTACAGGTGTAAACAATCACTCTGGGACTCAGTCACCAGCTCGGTGTGCTCGGGGGCCAGGCTAACGCAGCATGTGGTGTCTGGGATCAAATCGCCGTCCCTGAGTTGGCCTCAGCTTTCCTAAGCAGGCGCTTAGTCCACTAAGCTATCTCACTGGCCCGTGAAAATAAAATTTAAAGAAAGAAATAATAATAATAATAATAATAATAATAATAATCCATTGTTCCAATGAGTGAGATGATCTCTGCTTTTAAAGGGTGTACACAATGGCATATAGTTGGAAGGAAGAGAGATATGACAATAAAATTGGTGGAACACCAAAAATAAATAAATAAAATCCAGATTCATGTGGACCCTGGGACTCTTAGAGCCAGTGATGCGTGGGTTATAGGCATTGGGTAAGAAACGTTCCTTGTTTGTAAATAGGATCACAAGTCCGCATCTTGTACAGCAATTAACCACTAAGAAGAATATATGCAGTGTATTATTTGTTGAAAAATAAAAAGAAAAGAAACGTTCCTTTCAAAGTAAGAGTGATTTACAGTAAATATCCTAAGATATTATGCTTCTGTAGATGAATCAGAAAACATAAATCCCGCCTGGCTAGCCGAGCTGCTTGCGTTTACCAAAGCACCCTTTCCCGAGTCACCCGAGCGCGGACGAAGGACCGAGGGCGGGACGTGGGGCGGCCGCGTGTCCCCCGCGCAGGGCGGGCACCCGCTCACCTTGTACGCCTCCTCGCTGACCGCCTTGACGTTGGCTTCCCTCCAGGGCCCCGGCTTCCCGCCGGTCACCTCCCGGTAGTTCACGTAATAGCCCGTGATTTCCGCCCCTCCGCTCTTCTCGGGTGGCTTCCATCCGAGAACCATCGAGTCACGAAAGCTTTCAAGACACGTGATGTCGTAGGGTGGAGACGGCGCCGCTGTGGCAATGCAAAGAGACGGTGAGTGCGCGAGGGACGCGCTTGCGGACCTACACAGCGCGCGCGGCTGCTCACGCGGGGCCTCACGGCGGCGAGCGAAAACGCGACATCTACCCGCCACGCAGCACGCCGCTGGCTCCTGGGAAACAGAGGACCTACGGTCAAAGCGTGTGCTAAGTGGGCCGGCCAGTCAGCTCGGCGGATTACACTGCTTGCTTAGGCAGAGTCGGGGACCGCGGTTCGAGCCCCGCTGCGCCGTGCCGGCCCCACCCGTGGCGCAGCACGGAGATGGAGGCTGGGCGTGGCGGCGCGCGCCCGTGATCCCAGCACGTGGGACAGCTCGCTACGAGCCCGGTCTGTGTGGTGAGACCCTGTGGACCTTGTAAAACAACAAACAAACAAAAAAAACACCCGCCCTAGAAAAATGGTACAATATCCTGGAAAATGTCCCCCCATAGGAAGAAATATTTTCTCAAGGCATCAATTTTTGTTTCTTTATGTGATTTTCTTTTTAGTTGCTTCCTGAGGAAAATGGAACGTGTATATTGATTTCTGTCTCTTTTTTATTTGGAATTTCTGTAAATTTCCAAGTGGTCATTAGCACCTCACCACCAGGTACACTTACCTTTGTAAGTCTTTATACTTGTACATGGTATCTCTTTAGTTTGGTTTTTTCTTTTTCTTTTTTTTTTTTTAACCAGGAATTGAACTCATACATGTCTGTCTGTACTCAGGAAAAACAGTTTTATTCTCAAGCTCAGCTAAATGCTACTTTTCTTTCTTAATTTGTGCATTTGATCTAGGTTCTCACTATGCGGATTGGATTTGTGGTGATCCTACTGTTTTCAGTCTCCCCAGTGCTGGGATTACAGGTATGCACCACCACACCTGGACTCTGTTCCCGGCTCAGTGCACCCCAGGGGCAGGGCCGGCACGGCATGTGGTGCAGGGGATCGAGCCCTGGTCCCTGTGTTTGCCGAAGCAGTCACTCTGTCCACTGAACTATCTCATCAGCTCTAAATGCTACTTAAAATTTTTTTAATTAAAGCACATTCTCCCATGTGACTTCCTCTTGGCTTACACTACTTTAGTCACATGTCTAAGTTGATGTTGGATGTCATTCATGTAGTGCAAAACACTATACACCTAACCCTGTATCTGTTAGTGCTGAGCTAGCAAAATACTTGGAAAGATATTTTAAAACTCCTACATTTATGTGGCTTTGCTGACCAAATTTTCATCCAACTCCTGAAATCCCAGTTTTTGAAAGAAAGGATAGAGTGATAGAAAGAAATCTGTATGGAATAAAAGCAAAAATAATTTTTTTTCTTTTTCTTTTTTTTTCTTTTTTTTTTTTTTTTTGCAGAACTGGGGATTGAACTCAGGCCTTTGCACTTGCCAGGGAAGCGCTTATTCCACTGAGCCATCTCCCAGGCCCCAATAATTTTCTGAATATATATTTGGATTAGGAAACAAATAATCTCACTCTTATCCCAAAAGAAACTCAGGAATAATTTGTTTTAATAAAATGTATCTGCTTCTTCTTCACTCACCAACCTGCTTCACTCTGTACATTAAAAAAAAGCCTTTCCCCTCTTCCTTTTTCACAGCACTTGTATTAGTTACTTTTCTTTTCTCTTTCTTTCTTTCTTTCTTTCTTTTTTTTTTTTTTTTTTTTTTTTTTTGTGGTACCAGGGATCAAACTCAGAAACTTGTGCTTGCCAAAAAGGCAGGCACTTAAGCTGCTAAGCTGTCTGCCAGGCCCTTAGTTACTTTCACAGCACTTGTGAATGTGGGGTCTCAGGCGAACGTCGGTTTCATCTTGAGTTGAAGGGATAAATGCTCTGAATGCTCAGAGGTGCTTACAGAAGCTGGGCTAGGCCCGGAGGGGAGGGGCGGGCGGCATTTACACCCCTGGGAGTTCGGGCTGTGTATCAGGGTGCAATGCCCCGCCCCATTTACGGCGAGTCAAGGAGGCAGCCACTTGAATGAAGTGTGAAAAATCACTGAAGACCTGGTGTTGAGCGACAAAAGCCAGTGGCTGTGCCCTGGCACCGTGGCACCTTGGTGCATTCCTGTTCCTACTGAACTGTACACGTGGCATTTCAAGGAACCTTACACAGTCCCTTGGCCAAGTGAGGCCACTGGCGTTACTGTCCAGGGAACCACAAAGGGCTGCAAAGGGCCCTCAAACCCAGTTCCTCTGAACATGGCAGCAGCCTTCAGCCCAGGCAGTAATGTGTAAAAACCAAACCCAAATACAGTTTCTTGGACATGCACTAGGTGAAAATATTTGGAATGAGGTACTAAACACATGAAAATTCAGGACCGACACTGATGAAGGGAACATGATGGAGAATGTGACCGGGATGATGAGGGGTGGTGACAGGGATGGAGACAGATGAAGAACCGGACTTTTCTGCTTCTCACCTACTGCGTCCTTCTTCTTGTGCAGGGGCTCAGACTTACTCTGCCCTGGGGGAGCCGCCTTCTGGGGTGCTGGGGTGAGCTCCTCCTGAACTGTTTCACTTACTTTACTTGCTTCTGTATGTCCCAGCTTGTGAGACACGCTGGGTGGTGCAGGTTTGTTAAGTTTGCTATCAGGCAAAGCATCTTTCGGACAGCTTTTCGGGAAGGCTCCATGCACAGCCCCCCTGGGGGCCATTAGTCCACCGGGAGCAGCGGGCAGGTCGGGCCACACATCTGGAGACGCTGCGCCTCCTACAGTCACCAGACAACAACAGAGACACGTGAGCCAGCGGACACAGTGTTCTTGGGAAAGGGACAGACAGGACACACAGGGGCCGAAGCCAAGTCAAGACAGGCCTGGTTTAGTGGAATTGGCATGCCGGGATTTATAAGAAATGGGGCAACATATACGTCATATCACTGACACTAGGGAACACTTCAACTTCTCCATATTCTGGAAGAAGAGGAAACAAACACAAAAAGCCACAAACAGAACAGGAACTCTCTCTACTTGTAGAACCTGAAGAGTTTTTAGTTCACACAAGGAAAAACAAATTGCAGACATTGCTTGAGAGAAATAAGCTCCATTATTCAGCAGAATTGGAAAAAGAAACCTGAAGTGCACAAGAGGCATAACATCAAAGGTCTGGTTTTGTATCACAGAATCACACCCATTCCTACAACAGCCCTGAGTGGTACCTCCCAACCTCGAAGAAGCCTGTCCCCTGTTGCCCAGATTACAAGGAAGCTTGGAAAGCAGAGGTGAACGAACTCGCTGCTCCTTCCCGCCCGCCTCTTCTCACCTCCTTCTCGCTCTTACCTCCTTTCATTTTATTTCCATCTCCCTCCTCCTCTTCCTCCTCCTCCTCCTCCTCCTCCTCCTCCTCTTCTTTCTCTCTCTCCCTCTCTCCCTCCCTCCCTCCCTCTCTTTTGCTGGGGCTTGATCCCAGGTCTCCCACACACTAAGCACATGCCCTACCTCTGAGCTAGGCACCCAGCCGCCCATTTTCCTGACGTGTTAGTTTACTACTGCTTTAATTTGTGTTGCTCTGAACTGCCTGGATTCCTTCCCTACTTCATCTAAGACTAGGAGGCACATCACGCACATACATACAATTACTTATGGCTGGTTTTATTCTGTCAGTTACTTTGCAAGCAGAGATGAAACATATGATTAAACAAGCACATGCACTTTGCACGGATGTTAGAGGGATCTACAAGAAGCATGTTCATGTGCTGTTTGTTAGTGAGGCAAGCCAAGCCATGCTGTAGCGAATGGCCTAGAGCTACAGATGATCTGTTAGGGTGCGGTAGGTACCACGTCGTGGAACCAGGATGGCCCGCCACAGTCCCGGATGAGCACAGAGTTAGGGTGGAGATTCACATGATGGCAAGGATCTGCAGAGACTTGGGATTGGGATGCTGCAAGGGTTACAGATGTGTGGAATCTGGATGAGTGAGGGCGATCTGCAAAACGACAGCTACAGAAGATTACATGTCACCTAAAGCCAGAGAAAATGATGTAGGGGCAGCATCTGGAGCAGTACGCGAAGCTTCAAACAGCTTCTGGAGCTCACGGCTTCTTCCTTTCTCACTCACAACACTTTTCCCTTGCCGGTTTGGGTTTAAGGAACTTACCAATGGCGGCTTTGACTTCGATGGCTTCTGAGTCCTGTGAATAGTCACTAAGTCCAGCTGCATTAACTGCTCTGACCCGGAAAACGTAACTCTGACCGGTCACCAACCCATGGCAAGTAAACCTGAAGAGAAAAAGAGAGTTTCGAAAGTCTTTCCCGGGAGGAGAATTAGGGAAGACAATTGTTAGCTTACGGCTACATGAAACTGATCTATTTGTCAAAAGGAAGAAAAGACACAAAGCGATTCAGTAACACATACACTTGACAAGAAAGCAATTATGCAATTTTTAAAACTCTGTCAATAAAATGATGAGTCCTAGTATTGCCCTGACGCTCATCAAGATGATAAGATTAACAATACTTACGGAATAATTTTAATGTAAAGACTGCACAAAGTACATAGAGTAGCCTCCCCGTGTCTGGCATGGAAGCCACTAATAAATACCAGGTGACATTAATTCTGTTCTTCCTGGCTACTTCAGCTGCATGCACATGACTGGGGGGCTCTGCTGCCCCCAATCACTCTTCCCTGAGCACTGGGGAAGCTACAGATACTTGAGAAAATACACTGGAATCTGAAAACAGTGTGAAACTGCTTCCTGGGTGGTCATTCTAAGAAGGCTCCAATTATGAAGTGGAGATCTAGGCAAATGTCACACTAGGACTGCAAACAGCCATGTCATGAATCACCGGACCATCCTTGGGACTGTTACCAAGGAAACATAGGTCTGCTAATGACCAACCAGTTTGCTCAGAGAGTTAGTAAAGAAAGCCGTCATCTAGACCGGTCTTTTGGTCCTTAGGGTTGAGCGAGTATTTATCAAACTCTTCGGTGATCCACACATTGAGCAAGTACCGTGGATACGGAGGTGAGTACAACAGGCGCCTGCACCTCAGCCACTCCTGCCTGTGCAAAGCCCAGCTCGGCTGCTCACTGCAGCACTTCTAACAGCACCAGAACATCAGGAGAACTCAGAGTAGAGAGGAAATGCACAGAGGGACATTTTGTTGTCAGAAATGAATCTCTTACAAAACATACTGTCTTCTCTCATGAGTTGGTTGTTCTCTGTCCATTCTTGTTCTGCAAAAGAACTAACTTGCCCTAAGGGGGTCCTTAGGCCTAGAAGAGGCCTACCAAGCCTGTCTGATGGCTTCTGGGGCTCCCCTTTCAGACAGGCCTTCCCAAAGGAGTCTTGCCATTAATACAGAACTCACCACCAGATTGCAAGGCCAGTTGAGACAAAAGTTAAAAGCAAGAAAAAAAAATTGTCCACATCAAAAGCTGATGTAATGAAGCGGTAAATGTATCTGGAAAGTCTTTGTTTTAGTGTTATGTCTGTTTAGCATTAGGCTTAAGCATGTCCATGTTCAGAACATAAACAATGTTTACGCTTCGGTTTTTGTCCATTTCAAATGCCTGGGCATTGTGTCAGGTACAGCTTATGAGGACCTTTGAATCCAGCACCACATTGCATACTAAAGACCAGAACAGAGCAGGAAGAACGAAAAAAAAAAATAGCCAAAAGGCACAGAATCACGGAAGACCTAGAAAATGAGCCCTGGGATAGCTGCCATTTCTGGTTTCTAAGTGCTAACAGGTAAAGCTTCTCTTCCTGAAAGATACTCCACGTGTTCATTTTGAAACTCACTTGGATACAGAAAGCATACGTATGTGTGTACGTGTGCACACATGCCCCCAGGGCCCGGGCTGGGTTACCTTGTGCCCTTCACAGGGTTGTTGTTGCAGGGCTCCCACGTGCCGGAGCCCACCACGCTGGCCTCGATGTAGTACCCCACCAGCTCCTTGGCATCTTTGGACTCCTCCCATGAAACCACCACCGAGGTGTCTGTATTCCTGCTTGGGATGACGTTGCCAGGAGCCTTCGGGATGTCTGAGTGAAGAGGAAAACGGCGACAGGGCACTTGAAAATCTCATCCCATATGTGTCAGCAAACATAGAAATGTCACACAAATAATCATGTCAAACACCGTTCCTGCTTTGTAATGGGTCATTAAAGCAGGAAAAATTTAAAGTGTTAGTAGGGGAGCACAGTGACAAACCAGGTGTCTGTGAACTTCAGAAACACACGCACATGCCAAGTATTGACACTCCTGGGGAAGTTTATTTTCTATGAGCAAAAGTAAGTTTTATTTAATGTAAGGGCCAGGCACAGCTGTCAGACTTCTAATAAGAGGAGGATGGCACCATTTAGCCTCTGAGTATGCATGCATATACTAATTCAGTTCTTGCTTATAAAATAAGCTCACGGCCCCTCAGGCAATGACACTTACCAAGCTTGTCCCCCACCACAGTCACCTCGGTGGCCTCTGAGGGCTCACCGATTCCTGCCGAGTTGGAGCAGCGCACACGGAAGTGGTAGGACTTGCCCTCGGCCAGGTCGAACAGGGCAAAGCGGGGAGACTTCACCGGAAGCTCCGTGTTCACCCGCTGCCAGTTCTCTGTCCCCGCGTCACACTGCAGCAAGGACATCAGTGCCCACTGAGAGGCTGACCCAGAACGGCACTGGGGTGAGTGGGGCTGGGCATGTGGAGGAAGGGCTGTCCTCGGGAGCACGGAACACAATAGTTGTGGTGAGGGTGTATGGAACAGGAACCATGCACGCTGGTAGTGAGGATGTGGGCTTGTACACCGCGCTGGCAGTCAGCAGGGAGACCCCACAAGACACTGAACAGAGGCTCCACGGGCCTCGCCAGCCCTCTCCTGAGTGTATTCCTGAAGAGCACCAGGCTACACCGATATGCACACACCCAGGTGTACAGAGTGCGGGTCACAGCAGAGAAGCTCAGCCTATCACAGGATGAAGGGCTAGAGGTGGTGGCTGTGCACAGTGAAGTGCTATTCCGCCAGAGGGAAGAAAGATGTCACATCATGTGCAGGAAAAGGCATGCAACTTGAGGCCGTTAGGCCAAGTAAAATAAGTCAGACAGAAAGAGTGAAATACTGCGTGGCTTCCCTCATATGAAAAACCTAAAATATTAAGGAGCAAAGAAGATAAAGGAAAGAGAGTAGGAAAAGACAGGGCTGGGGAGATAGCTCAGTAGAATAAGTAGGATAAGTGCAAGGTCCTGAGTTCAATCCTTGGCACCACAAAAAAAAAGAAAAGAAAAGACAGATGTTTGGGGGGTGAGGATAGGTATTGGTGGAGGGAAGTTAGGGAAGGCTAGTAAAGGATTAGAAAATCATCCGGCTATATTATATACATGTATTAGTTCCCCCAAACAAACACAATTATGAGGTACTGCAAACATACACTCATTTTAAAAAGTTTCCTAGCACATCACTTGGCTTGATCTCCACTGGCTTGATTGGGAGATGTGTTGTGGTGGAAGGAACCCAAGGACGTAAGGCCTGGTCCCAGTTGTGTTAGTCACTTGGAATGACACGATGCTCTTTGATGGCTCTGCACCGATGCAAAGCTCTGCTGGGTCATTAGGGCAACAAGTCAGCGAGGCGTGGGGGTCCAAGACCAACCACGGGCTGCTCCCAGGCTGACTTCAGTCTTATTCCCTGGTTAACCTCGAACTTTCTTTATTCTGTGCGCGCCAACCTTCCCGGAACAGCACTTGTTACAACACTATACCACTCGATAAATTCTTTGTCTCCCTGCCTCTTCCCTAAGGGTTCTTGCTTCTCTTTGGCAGCACTCTCACACCAAGCAATAAAGGTTTTCTTTACTTCTCTTCTGCTTTTTGGGCCAGAGAAAGGAATCTTATACTCCTTTTTTTGGGTTTTTTTTTAGGGGAGGGTCTACAGGGTGTTCAGGGTTTTACTACTAGATCAGACTCATAATGATCCACCTGTTTACAGCCTCTCAAGTGCTGGGATTATAGGCACACACCACCACACCCAGGCTCAATTGCCATCTCAGTATGCCCCAGAGATGGGGCTAGCATGGCAGGCCCAGGGATTGAACCCCAGGCCCCTGCGACTGCTTGCAGTGCTTTAATCTGTTGAGCTATTTGGCCGGCCCTGGAATCTTATACTCTTGATCTCAGTTTCTCACCTCTAAAATGGGTAAATTTGACCCTAAAGGCTGGTGCAATGTCTCTTATGAGAATGTGTCCTTGTGTGTGGTGGCTGCTGCCTGCTGAGGGAAAAACATACTGCCAGATCTTCAACTTTTTAGCTAAGTCTTTGATCTGTTTTCTCTGATTTTACCCTAAGAGAAGACTTACGCAATTATTGGTCACTTATATTTTCATTAGAAAAACAATAGCTGTCCTTTACTGTGCTGGGAGTTCAGTAAGCCTCAACAACTTTGGTCCTCTCCAGCATACTATGCAAATCACAAGAGAAGATTCGGGGACAGGGATGAGAGGCAGACCAATGTGGCACAGACTGGGCATTTCTGACTCAAAATGCTTGGGACCGAAAGTGTCTCAGAATTCAGAATATTTTGGAGTTTGGAAAATGTGCAGTCTTTACCTGTGGAGCATCCCAACAAAAGCCTTGGGCACAAACCCCTTTGAGCATCCATGGGCTCACAGGTCTGGACTTTAGGGTTAGGAGTGCTCAGCCTGTAGTCAGCCTGTAGCCAGACTCAAGTCCTGGCTGCCTCATCCCTGCAGTGCAACCTTGGGCAAACTGTATGCCCTGTATGGGCCTCAGTGTCCTCACTTGTGCAAAAGGCATGACAAGGACCAGCAAGATAGCTCAGCAGACTGCAGCCCCTGCGTAGGCAAGCTTAGGCAAGTGCAGAGACTGCAGTTCGATCCCTGGCACCACAAACTGCCCCAGCCTACCCCCCCAGGGCAGGCTGAGCCGGCCACAGAGTCCACGCATAGTGGCACATGCCTGCAAGCCCAGCGCTAGGGAGGCTGAAAACAGGAGGATTACTACAAGTCGGAGCTGCGTAGTGAGGCCCTGTAACAACCAAATACATTAAAAAAAAAGCATGACGAAAATAACAGTATGAACCTCACGAGGTTACTTCAGGATTGCAATGGGTTAGCATGTGGGGAACAGTGCCTGGTCCACTCTGAGAGCAGGAGGAGGCTGGGAGTGATGCAGGTTTTGTCTCTGACACCACTGGTAGGGGAGGTGTGGGCGGAAGGAACACAATAGGGCGAGGAGGCCTGCATGCAGCAGCCACTCATCTGATTCCTGTAAGATCCCTCCATCCCTCCCGTGTTGGGGAACACAGACACAGCAGCATAACTGGCAAGCAGATTCACGTTCTCTGCAGGCCATACCGAGGTAACAGATCCTAGGGAGAAGTGGGGGTGCAGACTAACCAAGAGGCACCCCAACATGGGGCCAGCAGAGTCAGGGAGGGAGCGAGGGTCCTGCTCCCATGTGAGAGGCATTCATAGGAATACCTTGCACCAGCTCAGGGCATCGGGCACAAGCACAGCTGGGCAGGTGCCTGGGTTCCTGCGTGTCCTGTGGCCCTCAGCCTCGAGTCCTGGCGCTCAGTACGCCACCTCGGTGCCCAACCCCACAAGCATCTTCCAGCCATCTGCACGAGGGGCTGCTGGGAGAGTACAGAAATCTTAATTGCAGTTCATAGGTACTTAGGTTTGGGGCGTGACAGACTTTCATGGAGAAACGAGAGCTGACGTGACAGAGGGAATGTTCAGCAGCAGCCGGCTTTGACTCATCCAAAGAAAATGCCTCAGGCCCGGAGCTGTTACCTGCCACAGCTATGGGAAGATGGTAATTACTGCCAGGGTTATTCAGAGCTTCTTCCTTTAAAGAGATGTGCTGGGGCGTGCACAGACACCCCAGGAAGCAAGTGCTTCTCTATCTTCTAGTATTTTCCTCTAGAAAAGAAAATAAGTGTAGGGTGCTACTCAAGCTTTTCTTTTTGTGTGTGCGGCTAATATATAGAAAACAATAAATATAAATATAAATGTTTAATATTATTTTCATAAAACCACACTCAGTTGGCAGGTGTCCATATTGTGTGTGGAAGGAGTGACATTTATTCTTACCAATTTGCCAGGGTAAGAAAGAGGTGAGATACATAGTCCAGAGACTTTCTGAACTGTCCACTACAAAGAAAAACCAACAAATGAAGGAAAATTGCCCTGCCTAGGATTTTAGGTCAGGTATAATTTTCTCAAGAACCACTTATGTGAAATACACAAAAGGCCATAAGATATTTACATCTTGTTTTATGTTGTTACCTAACTGGCAGATGTTGGTACATACTGCTTTATCTAAGAAATCTATTCTTTCACAAAAATTGTCAAGGACAGCCAGGAAGATAGCTTAGAGGCATAAGTGTCTGCCTGGCAAGGGCAAGGTTCTGAGTTCAATCCCCAGCACTGGGAAAAAAAAAAAAAAAAACCATCAAGGATGATTGAACATGCGTTCCAAAATGGGCCAGATTAGCATTCCAGATAAAAAAGTAAAATTAATTGAGCTTCATATTTTTGTAAAAAAAAAAAATCCTTTCTGTGATCTTTCTATCAAAGTAAAAATGCTATCACAATTTTATAAAATTAAAAGTTCAAACACTGGTTTCTCTTATTTAAAATATGGTGCCTCCTGCTTAGGCAGACGCAATGGCCAGGGTTCAATCCCCGGCATGCTGTGCCACCCCACCCCCAGGGTCCCACTGAGACAGCCATTGAGACTGGGCATGGTGGCACATGCCTGTAATCCCAGCTCTTGGGAGGCTGAACACAGGCGGATCACTATGAGCCCAATCTACGTAGTGAGACTCTGTAGGCCCTGTACCAAATACCAAAAAAAAAGTGCCTCACTACGCATAAAAAAATCGTAGATTTTTCTTAAATCTAAGATCAAGACTGTTCTCAGTTATGCCCTGCTGGGAGCTGCTGAAGCTAGAAATTGGTCACATGTGTGAGGGCAGGACAAGACCACAGTGCTTAAGCAGTCAAGCTGCGTCAGTCTTGAGAAAGTAGCCTACATGACCAATGTCAGCCAACAGTCGCTAGGCAACCTGGTGTCACGTGACTAGCTTTGCAAAGTATAAATAAAGCTCCTACAGTTGCTCTTGGGGTCCTCTGCCAAGCAGGTGGTGAGCCACCGCCTGACCCAATTCTTGTCTTGTCTTCCCCATTCCAGCTGCTGTTGCTCCCCAGGGCGCCCGAGATGTGCAATGCCTGATCAATCTGCTTAATGATCTGTTTAAGGGGGATCCTGTCTAATGATTGGACCCCCCTTATACTTGCAGGCTACTGCTGGAGGGAAGAACCCCACTGGCTCACCCAGACGCAGGGCAGCAGGGACTGGCTGTCTTCACCTCTTCCCACTCTGCACCTTCTTCTCCTCTCACCCACCGCCCACATTACATTCGCTGCCTCCCTCACAAGGGTGAGTGTGGGGAGCTACGAAGTCAACCACAGAGCCCAGAAGACAGAGAGCATCTCTAGAAAGCACCCTCATATGGTTGGTCTCCAATTTCAGATCTGTTTCTCTTCTCCCAGGATTTATTATTTGGGGTCTGCAGTATAAGGGAATCTCAGGGGTCCAGAAGCCCCCCAGACTTGCAGGCACAGCTCTGGGGGATGTACACAGCTCCCTAAGGAGAGTGCACACAGCACATGAGGTGAGGTACTGAGGACCTTCTCTTCCCTTTCCCTCGGTCTCCTGTCCCCAGAAACTTCACCTCTACACTTTAAAAGCAACCTTGAGGATCTGGCACGAGCTGACGCTGACTAAGTCTTACCTTCTCCACGAAGTACATAATGCCTTCGTGGCCACGCTGGCCAGGGGGCTTCCAGCTCAGCACCACATAGCTCCGGGTGGCCTCAGTGACAGAGAGGTCTGTGGGGGGCCCAGGAACAATGCCCGCTGCAAAACAACAGGGAAAAGTTAGGGACACACAGTCTGGGTAGGCAGGACACTCAGAGCACCTTGGGCTCATCTCCCCTCCTGGAGGAAAGCGACTCTGGCTCCCAGTGGGCAGGAGTAGCTTGCGTCTGAACTTCTTCCTAACGCATCACTCAGGCAATTGTTTGGTGCTATGGAGCATTTAATAGACAGAGCTAAGGAGCCCAGGACACTGGGCTCATCTCTGAATTGTTACTCTGCTTCTTCTTTTTTTTCTTTTGCAGCACTGGGGATTGAACTCAGGACCCTGTGTTTGCCAAGCAAGCGCATTATTCCTCTGAGCTATCTCCCTGGGTGAATTGTGTACATTTAAGTCAGTGAAAGAAGAACCAAACAGGACAGGGCAGGGTGTGCTTGTGGCTCAAGGACACAAGTCACACTGAAGCTGCTGTGGCTCCGGGCTGGCCTCTGTCTGCACTGATGTCTCCCATAGATACAATGCAGTCCTCTCAGGCTCTGGCTCGTGACTCAGGTCCATCTGAGCAGGAAAACACAAAGCTTCCTGGACACAGAGACGCGTGTCACTTCTTGATTGAGACCGGTATTGCAGCACACTCCCCTCACTGATGTGTGCTTTCCAGCCTCAGTGCAGCTCCTATTTCTGTCCCACCCTCCAGCCTCTAGCCACTCACTTGACCTTGACCTCTGCTGTCTGTGTACCTCTAGACCCTCCCTTCCTGCTTGTAGGAGCAGCTTCACCACGACTTCAACTACAAACCCAGCTCCGTGGGGACCTTGCTCAGGCCTGTCTGATGTGTTTTTTTTTGTTTTTTGTTTTTTTTGTCGTTGTTGCTTTGGCAGAATCAGGGATTGAACTCAGGCCCTTGCGCTTGCCAGGCAAGTGCTTATTCTACTGAACCATCTCCCCAGCCCTGATGAATTTTGTATCCCACCCCCTTCCTGTCTTGGAGCCATTGCAAGCCCTGCATGTGATGGGTTCGCGGGCTCTAAAGTCTAGATGCGCTGGGGCTGCCTTGCTTTCTCCCTCCTGCTCCCAATCCAACTATCAGAACTTTTTTTTTGTACCCATCTAAGGTTGCCAGATTATTAGAGGATGTCTTGAAATTTTATTTGCTAAATCAGCACATGAAATTATTTAACACTAGGGGGCCTGGCCCTAGCTCAGTTCTTTAAGTGGCTGCTTCCACAATGCTGGCAGCCTCAGGTTGCTGGAGTTCGATCCCCACAACACTCCAGCCAGCCAAAAGTGCCCTGAAGGCATTCGAGGAGCAAAAAAAAAAAGAAATTATTTAACACTAAAGTTGCTGCCTTTGGGATTCCTTTTCAAACCTGACATAGTTGCTGGAAACCCAGTCGTCCCCATCCCCTGTGGTCTAGTTAAAACTTGCCCTTGCCGAGTAATTGTGATACAGGCTGTTTGGTTCTTGTCCCACAGACCAAAATCCAGCACATCTCCCAGGTGCTAACCACAATAAGACCTAATACTCAGAATCATAAACAAATTCTTCCTTCCTGTTTCCTTTTTAAACCAGCTGATCCATACCTCCTGTGAGAATGCCTAAGGCACCATGCCCATCATGACCATTAATTACGATGCATCAGTTTAACTGGGTTAAAAACACACCAGGAAGCACACTTCCGGGTGTGTCTGGACGGTCAGGGCACGACCTTGGGTACAGTGTTTGGTCCTTTGCCCTTTCCTTGCTGGCCCTGTTCCCTTGCTCTCTGCCTCCTGCTCACCATGAGCTACCAGCTGACCATGGGGTGAATTCCCTGAAACCTCTTTTCCTGAAAGCTGTATCACAAATTTGTCCCAGGAATGGGAAGACTGACTAAAACACTACTAAGTCACACGATGCCCAACAGGGCACGTTCTCGTAAGTCTCCACTCAGTCCATGCTGACTAACAAAGGCAAGCCGTGAAAAGATTAAACGCTTTTCTCAGAATAAAGCTGACAGATATTTCTGGAACTATGAAAATATTTAACACCAAACAATGTAAGCTCAAGTACCTAATATCAAATAAAAATTACCACACAAGGAAGCAAGAAAATGAACCTATAATAGGAGGGGGAAAGCGATCCGTAGGAACAAAGCCAGACAGGATCTGTAAATAGCTAAATGATTAGAACGTCAAGGCTCCGAGACAGCTATAAATGACTCCACAGGTTCGAGAGGCTGAACACTGAATGAACTCAGCATCAGTGAGCTGAGCGGCAGGTGCTAGTGGTTTCAGTCACGTATAAGGGGACTTCCTCAAGTGGAGAAGACAGAAAAGAGTACAGGAGAAAATATTTGAAGAACCAGTCAGCTGGAGAGATAGCTCAGTAGTGTCAGTGCTGCCTGGCAAGCGCAAGATCCTGATACAAGAAAAAAAAAAATCATAAAAATTTTCCAGATCCAGTGATAACCACAAACCCACAGAGATGCAACATTTGTTGACTCCGAACTTAAGCTACATGAAAAGGATGAGACACACACACCTTATAGTCAATTTTTAAAAGTAAAACTGGTAAAGACAGTATCTCAGACACAGACACAGAAAAAAGACACACTACACATCCAGGAACAAAAATGATAATGGCAACGGCCTGAGCTCTCTAAACTACCGGGATAGCACTGTCTTCTAGAATTCTGTATCCAGTGAAGGTGTATTTAAAATGAAAATGAAATAGAGGCTTTTCCAGATATATAACACAGAAAATAATTCACAGCCACTAGACACGCACGCACTACAAGAAAGTTAAAAAAAAGTACTTCAAGTGGAAAGAAAATCTTATCAGATAGAAATCCATATCTATAGACAAACAGAAACAAAATGAAAAGGAATAAACAGTTAAAAAGGTAAGTGTTGAAAACTTTTCTTACTTTTAAAATCTCTTTGCAAGATAGCATAATGACGTTAGTCAACATAATGATGGAGTTGCGTTACGCAGCTTCATGAGTATACATTTGAATAAATTGCACTAGGGAAAGTTCCACTGGAAGGTGGGCCAAGAAGGTTATATTATAAATTCAAAGCCAGTAAGTCTAAGACAAATGATTATCCCATTTGGGAGAATGAAGGAAGAGGACTGCCTCAAATTCCAGGCCAGGGGCTGGTGAGATGGCTCAGTGGTCTAAAGCACCTACCTAGAGCAAGCTAAGCAAAGCACAGGGACCGCAGTTCAATCCCCCAGCACCACATGCAAGCCAGCCCCGCCCCCTGGTGGGCTGAGCTGGTCCCACCACAAATAAATAAATAAATAAAATTTAAAAAAAAAAAATTCCAGGCCAGCCTAGACTACATTATGAAGGCTAGCCTGAACGACATGGTGAGATCCTGTCTCCAAATAAATAAACCATCAAGCAAGCAAACAATTATAGTCAATGGCATAACACCAATAAATGGAATGAAAAACTACCCTCAGTCTTTAAAAAGTAGAAAAACAGGGCTGGTGAGATGGCTCAGGGGTCTAAAGCACCTACTTAGAACAAGCTTAGCAAAGCAAAGGGACCGCGGTTCAATCCCCCAGCACCACATGCCAGCCAGCCCCGCCCCCTGGTGGGCTGAGCTGGCCACACACACACACACACACACATAAATAAAAAATTTTTTTAAAAAGTAGAAAAACAGGAAAAAAGGAAAAAAATAGATGCAATAGACAAAAAACAAACAATATGGTAGATTTAAGTCCAACCCTAGGAATAATCAGATGAAACGTACACACTTAAAATAGCTCAATTTAAAGCCAAGACTACCAAATTAATGAAGAAATGTAGATCCAGCCATATGCTGCTTGCAAGAAAGACAGCTTAAATGTAAAGACAAATATAGGCAAGAAGTAAAAAGTGAGAGTATGCCACGTTAGCAGTAATCAGAACAAAGGTGGAAGAACTACATTAAAATCAAAGCAGATTTCTAAGCATAGAAATATTTCTGGGGGTATAAGGAGTCGCATTCCCATAATAAAGTGGTCAATTCATCTATGTAAATGGACATAGATGCAAACTTCTTCTAAATGAATAGAGATGCAAAAAACCAACAAAAGTTTAACAAATGACAATATGTAAAAAGGATAATACACAATATAGTTGCAAAAGTCCTAAAAAGTTTTAGAAAGTAAACTTGAACAATAGAAAACCAATAATATAGTGTGACTAAGTGGGGTTCATCCTAGGAATGAAAGGCTAGTTTAGTAATCTAAAATTAGATCAGTTTTTATGGAAAGGGGAAAATTCTCCAGTAATCTCCATACATGCAGAAGAGACATTTGATGAAATCCAATACTCCTTGCTGATACATATCTCAGCAAACCAGCCTAGAAAGGACTTTCCCCAGCTGGATAAAGGATGGCTGTAAGAACCCTCTCTGATCCAGGGATAGTGGGGAGAACCTGTAGCCCCAGCATTTGGGAGGCTGAGGCATGAGGACTGCTGAGAATTTGAGGCCAGCCTGGGCTACACAGTGAGTTCAAGGCCAGCCTGAATTACAGGAGATCCTGTTTCAAAAAAATCTTGAAAATACCATATCTGTAATGCTAGCTTTGATGATGAAGGACTAAGGGCTTTTTCCTTGAGATCAGAAAAGGAAAAATGTCTAGTTTTACCAGTCCTAATATTATAACATTTCCAGAAAACAATAGCTAACATACTTAATTATGACAAAGAAGTCAAACAACATAAAAAGAGCGAGCAGGCGCATAAAAAAGTGCTCAATATTATTAGGGAAATGCAAATCCAAACCCCCCAAAATACCACTATCAACCCACAAGAATAGCTAAAATTAAAAAGGGTGATCACACCAAATACTAGAGACAACCAGAAGCAACTGGAACACTCCTCTGGTGCCTGTGAGGCATGGGCCAATCTCAGAATAATTACGCTGGTGAAGGACATCATGAGACACAGAGGAACATGAGTGCTTTAAAACCAGGAACAATACAAGCTGCAGTGACAGAGAGCAGGGAGCGCTGGCCGGCAAGCGGTGCCAGGAACGGGAGGAGTCGCGAGGAGGCAGGGGAGATTTCAGGAACGTGGATCCCTTTGGATCGCGCTTTGAACCATGGTCCTGGCTTCACGTATGCACGCACATGTGAAACATCCAACTGCACATTTTATAGCCTTGCAGTTTGGTGTGTGCCAACTGCCCCTCAAGAAAGCTTTAATAAGACACAATGCTCTGATGTCTGGGTGCTCAGTGCTGGCGTGAGCGCTCCGCACCACCCCAACACTCACCCCCAGCACATCACTCTGACAAGTTATCTTGTAGGCCCAGATATTTAAAATGTTCTGTCCAAAGCATCATAATGTGCACGATGCCCTCTACTACAAAATTTCAGCTGCACAGCAAAACAGCAGCAATAGCATCTGGGGAGACCAGAGTCCTTACCCGAGGGCTCCTCTTCTGTGACAATGATTTGTCCAGTCCAGGGTGCTGATGGGCGACCTGGACAGAGACAAATATAAAACCACAGACAGTCACAAGGGCAGTTTCATCTGCACTGATACATTGATAAACTGGCTTGATTAGTCATGAGCTTGTTCCTAGCTCACTTGAGAATTTTCCTGAGACATCACATAGATGGATAGATGGAGTTGTGGGGGACACAGCCCCATCTTCTGGGGACCTGCAGTCTGCTAGAGCCTAGAGTCTGCCAGGACTGAGTGAGGTGACTTACACAGGCCAGATGCATAGGCACATGTGTAGCAGCTCAGGAGGGCTCTCCTGGAACGTGCAGGAGTGAGTAACTGGCTCCTTCTCAGAGACAGGTGCGCCTGGGGACGCATGCTAGAGCGGTGATGAGACCCGGAGGTTGTCCATCATCACGAAGAGGAAAGAGGAGTGGGGCGCTGATGCTGCAGTACAGCTCAGCTAAACAGTTTTTTCTGTTCCATTTTTGCAAAGTGTTAGCTGCCGAGAAAGTCAGTGGAGATCTTGAGTGAGAAAAGTGGAAGAGACGCCTACAGCCAAAGAGGAAATTCCTCCTGTGACTTCACGCACTCCAGAAACAGAACTGCTCAACTTCTGCTTTCCTTAAGGGACTTTTTCGTGAGATTTTGCGCAGAAGTGGAAAGAGAGTGAAGAAGACTGTTTATTTCCACTTCAAACAAATTGTACTTTGGTTGGATTTGTCAGAGAGCAGAAAAATAAAGCCTGAGTAGGATCTGAAAATTTAGGAGTGATACAGAAGAGTGGGACAGTTGGCGAAAAGTGAGCAGAGAAGAGGGAGAGGTGGCAGCATCTTACTTACCTTCTGGTGAAGCTGCAGCAGCTGTGAGGGTGAGACCAGCCCCGTAAAGATGCCACCGACCTGCGGCCATCCCACGGGAGATCCTGCCCCACCCCCTGGGGGATGTTTGCAGCATCTGGGGACGTTTTTGATGGTCACAGTGTGAGAGTCATGCTACTATCACCCAGTGGGCAGATGAAAGGGGACAAAAGCACCCTGTGACCCAGAATGCCTCCCTTCCCCAACATAGAACTACTGGTCTAGAGTGCCAACAGGGTCGACGTTGAGAGAGTGGTCTAGGCGGAAATGCCTCAGCTAGAAATTCCCGTGACATCATCATGGGGTCCGTATTCCTGGGGCTGTGAAACGGGCTCCGTGAAACAAATGCAGGCCGTCATTCATGCACCACGGCCTGGACAACAAGATCTGGAAACTAGCTGGGCATGGTGGCGCCCGCCTGTGATCCTAGTATTCAGGAGGCTGAGGCAGGAGGACTGCTTCGAGTTTGAGGCCAGCCAGGGACTATAAAGTAAATTCCAGGCCAGCTTGAACTGCATAGTGAAACCCTGTCTCAAAAAGACCAGAAAAGAAAGAAAGAAAAACAAATAGGGCCGGGGAGATGGCTCAGTGGAATAAGCACTTCCCTGGCAAGCTCAACGGGCTGAGTTCAATCCCCCGGTTCCGGGGGAAAAAAAAAAAAAAAAAAAAAAAAAACCAAAAAAAAAAAAAAAAAAAAACAAAAAAAAAAAAAAAAAAAAGTGGAAACTAAGTTAAGGAAAAGATTATATTATCTAACGTGGAAACTCAAATTCTGATAAAATATAATATAAATCTGCTTTTCTGTTGATATAAAGAAACTTCCAGCACTGAGACATTAATGCTGTAGGAGTAGATTTCAACAAGAGATACACCTTGTGCCAGGATCATTTTTGGAATTCATTACTAATGTGAATAAAAACGCACCCCAAGCTGTTCTCATATTTCACCCGACACACAGTGCCTGTAGCCCAGATTAACAAAGCAAGCTATAAGATAAAAAAATAAGACAAAATAAAGTAAGATTACCTAAAGCCCTGCAGAAACTGGGTAAACAAGAAAACCAATCCGCCTCCTGCCCCAGGGTTTCCTAAAGAGAAAAGGATTTCTTATTCTCAGCTCCCTCTAGTGGAAGGCAGAGACACAGCCTTGCAAGAAGTCTATTTTAGCTCATTTAATTTCATGTTTTCAGTACTGGGGGTTGAATTCAGGGCTTTTGCACTCTGCTACACCCTCAGAACTTTGTTATTTTTTTTTTTAAGAGAATGAAAAATAGTAAAAATAAATTATAAACGATGCAGAATTTCACCATTCAGAATAATTGGAATTCGACAGTGGTTGTTCCATTGCATAGATCTTTGTTATTTTAGAGAAGGTTTCCCTGACTTGTTAAATTGCCCAGGCTGGGCTAGAACTCAAGGTCCTCCTGACTCAGCATCCTGAGTGTATGCCACAGTTATTTTTAAAATGTAAAAAAAGTGCAAGGCAAGATGCTGAAAAAGTGGGCTAGGCACGCTTACTTTTAAGTCTGGCTTTCTCAGCTGGATCCAGGGCGGCTACAGGCTCGGAGACTCGCGAGGGGAGGCCTATCCCATTCTTATTCACAGCCCGGACCCTGAAGATGTAGGAGCGGCCTTCTATTAACCCAGCGACTGGAAAGCGAGCGAACTTCACGGGCGTGTCATTGCACTGAGACCAGCTGTCTGTGCCCACCTCACACCTGGGGAAAGAGCGGAAGGTCAGGAACGTTGCACACCACGCCTGCGCGCGCGAATGGCCCCAGCGCCGCGGACCAGCCCTGGGCTTCGGGTCTGTGCTCAGCACCACCCAGCCTCGCCCCCGCAGGTGGCGGCACACAGTTCCACGCAAGTGCAGCGTCTTCTGAACAAGAAAGAAGCCTCTGATCTGTCCTGAATTTGAGAGCAGGCAGCTGAGAGGGCCGGGTGCTAAGCAAAGTTTAGGGGGAAAGAGGAAGTGGGAAGGTGATTCCTAAGTCTTTACGGGGCACAGGCTTGGGGGGAGGATTCCCCGCCCCCATATCTCCCTGGCTGATGCCTTCCCTCTACCTTTAGTGATTTCTTTCTTTGTCTTCCTTAGGCATTTTCTTTCTGAAAGGCAGTGCTGTTGACATTTTGGCTCCTTGAAAGGTAACTCTATACTGCAGTTTGGGAAACAGCTCAGCTTGCGTCTTCTTGTTTGGCGGTCACTGCATTCTGCGTGGGTGGAGGGCCTAACAGGCGACCGTCAGAGGTCTGCTTCTTTAACAGGCGAGATGGCCGACAGGAAAGGAGACCCCCAAGGAGAGGAAGCGCTTGGAAGCTGGTGTCCAAGCCAGGGTGTCCACAGCAGTCATTAGCCAGGGATGGACAGGGTCACTGTGCAGGGGCCGAGCCTGAGAGCTCCTTTCCTGATGTTGGCTCGATCCGAGTGACCCAGTGAGGGTTAGAATTCTACAGCGTTAGCACACAGGGAGGCTTTTATGAGCAGAACCCAACTGTCTGGTTTTCTGCATTCTCCAAATACCCCTCTGTTTAAGACGTATAACTCCTCAGCGTTACTCAGGGCAGGAGAGACCCTGGCCCCGAACAGAGGCTCTAAGGGGTGTCTCCCCTCTGCACCATCTCTTGCCATTCTTTCAAAGGATATAAGTCATAGCGTTTTCTGCACCAACACACAAAATGCCATCAAATCTTCATTTGGCTTCTATTCAAGTAGTTGCTTTAATTCTCTTTTTATTTTTGATTATGGAAACCCCTCCACCCACGCAGAATATAGTGACCATGAAATAGGAAGATGCAAGCTGAGCTGTTTCCCAGCCTCCATCCCTGCCTTCCACCCATTTGCCCTGAGTCTTTCTCATAGAACTTCTGGAGCTGCTGTTGGGTGAGGGTCGGAGTGGGCACTGAGCAGGGGGGCTGGTAGGGCCAGGATGGTCGTGAGAATGACTTTGTCGCCCAGATTCTACAGATACTGCCCTGGTGACCAGGGATCCTCACAGGTGCTTGCTTTCCATTGCTCACATGGGCAGAAAGAAAGGTAGAGACCCGCTGGGCTAGACACTTTGGCTACAGTAAGCTGGCGTCTGAGCCCTGGTCCTGCCACTTCCTGCCTGTGTGACTTTGGGCACTGGTGCGCGCCACCGGGCTGTTGCTCCTTTCCTCCTGTGTATGATAATACCTTCCTCCAGGATGTGTGGGCTGGTGGGATACATATGCAAAGTAGTTATGCAAAGCAGAACTTTGCATATGCAAAGCAGCGTCATGTTTGTAGTACATGCTTAATAACTATTGGCCATGAAGCAGTCATTTCCATTATGACTAAGAAAGAAGACAACAAAATGTTCTGAATGCTCCTCATCTTTTGCTGATCAAAGTTTGCCAGCCCCTTGGAAATCTGTCAAAGCCAATAAACTAGATACTGAAAAGATCTGTGTAAACCTTCACAATTGGTCTCTATTCAATGTTGCATCCATAGCATTTCATGGATATGGCTAAATCATATATAATTGATAGAAACACTTCTGCAGAGGGCATTGAGTTCAATGGGCACACACCTACTTAATATAAGTATAGGGTTTAATCTACCCCCACACAAACCTGTTGTAGCAGAGTTATACCAAATATCTGTCTATAGAGGTTTCCATAATCAAGAATAAAAAGAGAATTAAAGCAGCTACTTGAATAGAAGCCAAATCAGGAGGAACAGTGTATTTAGACTAACAATCCATATTAGTTGTCTGTATTGTTAAAATTGCTGGACAATTGATGTGTAAGCCTAAGTACTATAAATATGTTGTAGTTTGTGCCTACTTGTCCCCTCAAAGCCTCATGCAGTCATGGGGCAGCTTCTGGAGTTTGTGATAGATTATTGTGGGTGTGGGTGCTGCACCTACCCTGGGGTGGGTAATCTGCATTACAATTCAAGGAGGGGAGAGAGGCGACTAGCTGCCAGGGCTGCTGCCACTTCCTTCACGCTCTGCTCTTTGCCGCCAGAGGTTGCCCTCTGCCATGTGCTGCTCTGCCTTGGAGCCAGCTGAATATGGACCGAAACCTCCACTAACTGTGAACTAAATAAATCTTTCCTTCCCTCATTTTGAGAGTCGGGTATTTGTTTCAGCAATGAGAGAAAAGTAACTGAGACAAAATATTAGAATCTCTAAATTTTGGAGACTGTAAACAGCAAGAACTTGTAGATAAGAGCATAATTTAATATTACTGATTTTTGTGGTTGTATTTCTTATAACTTAAAACTATATCCTGCAAGACTAATGATATTTTTGTATTCCTAAGGGAAGCATTTTGTTTTTTTCATTTTATGTGCTTGGTACAGGGTCTCACTGCACAACTTGGACTTATAGTGATACTCCTGTTTTCAGCCTTCCCAGCACTGGGATTGCAGGCATGTGCCAGCATGCCTGGACTGGGTCACCGGCTTAGGGGTCCTGGGGGTGGGGCCAGTGCAGTATACAGGACTGAGATTGAACCCTGATCCCTGCGTTTGCCAAAGCAGGTGCTTAGTCCATTGAGCTATCTCACTGGCCCCAAGGACAGCATTCTTATGTACCAAATCGGAGTCCACTACACCTGACTGAGTTTGCCCAAGCAGGCGCTTTAAACAACCGAACTAACCCAAAAGCCCCTGGCATTCTTAAATTACTGACATATTAGGAATATAGACATTAAATATATAGCATCAGCTACTGCATTTCCAAAGGGCCTCTACTAGGCCTACAGATTCACAGCGTTCTTGCTAAGCTAGTGCCTTGAGTTGGTAGTTAAATTCAGAGTTTATCTTTGGAATTTAGGTAAGCAGATATGAGAAAGTAAGGTAGATGAGCGTCTTGCTAGAGGTGTGAGCATGTGCAAGTGTGTGTACACAGAGACAGAAAAGGGGAGGCAGCACCCCAAGCAAATGTGGCCAGCGTGTCTGCGGGCGCCGAGCTCCCAGTGCAGGCAGAGCAGGCACTCACTTATCAATGAAGTAGCCCAGGATGGGGCTCCCTCCATCCACTGCCGGCTGCTTCCAGGAGACGATGATGTAGTCTTTGTTGGCTTCCAAGCTCACCACATCCAAGGGCGCAGCAGGGGCTCCTTCAATCTCCGTGTCAGCATCTGTGGAGACACGAGGAGATCAGTTGCCACCCCTTGGCACTCTGCCAGGTGGCAGCCGCGGCCTTGGTGCACACCTGACTTGCCACACACTGGGCACAGCTTTGGCCCCAACAGAACAAACTTAGAACCTTGTGATTTGTTTACCAACATAACAGTGTGTGCTTTTCACCTTCAGAGGGAAGAGCATTATGTTAGAAGATAGAAAGGGCTGTGAAAGTAGCAGTTACTTTTGCCTCCTGGCAGCCTTTGCTACCCCACATGTTCCAAAATAAAAGGGGCCAGGAGATGCTGGTAACTGCTATTGGGCTAGACACACAGCAAACACGTCTGTTCTTAAGACACTGGCTGTACCGTGCTGCTAGTAAACAATGATACTCCCCAGAGATCAAAGAGCCCCTCCTTCCACCTTCTGGACGCATCCAAAGACAAGAAGAGCCAAGGAGCTTCGCCCCCCCTTAGGCTGCACACTGCTAGTTTGACAGAGAAAAGAACATCTGTTTAACCAAACTTCACTCCCAAATGGAGGACACTTAGGAAAAGCACACTGAAGTTACGTCGAGGCGTTTCTGAGGTTAGGAAAAGTCCAGGCTGTCGCTTATGACACAGACTCAGCTATTTGTGAAATGGGACCTGCACAAGCAAGGCTGGTGTCAGCAAGAAAAAAAGGGGACTCAAGATGCCCGTTAGTCACCCTGTAAGAACAGAGGCAGCATCCCTATGGGAGGGCTCCCATTCGCCAGTCTCTCCTGGCAACTGACTGACCCCTTGCACACGGGGTTAACAGGCGAGGCTGAGGCGCATGGGAGCCCCTCACTCCAAGGAAACCCCTCACTGACTGGACTCACACTGTCTTTTCTTATGATCTATGTGACTGCAATGTTTATGAGTTCCTGAGGCATTACATAACGTGGCAGAAATATTTGCTGGCCTGTGAATTAAATAACTTTGAGAACTGTGAAAAGCCCAACATTACTTTTATTTTTCAGTATTCCTAGGGATTGAACCTACCCACTGAGCAACTTCCTGACTCCTTTTCTATTTTTGTTTTTAAAACTTTTTAAATTTTGAGGCAGGGTCTCACTAAGCCACTAGTTTACCCTGGCAGGACTTGAATTTGCAATTCTCCTGCCTCAGCCTCCCAGGGTGCCGGGTTACAGGTGTGCATTGTGACACCCAGCCTATTTGGATTTTAAACATTTTGTTTTGTACCCCATAAACAAGCAGGGAAGTGGCTCCAGGCAAATCTTTCCTAAAGATGTACTCTAGAAAGAGGAGACTAAGGGCAGGCCAAATAACTGAGTGGATTAAAGTGCCTGCAAGCTAAATAGCTCAGCAGATTAAAATTCCTGCAAGCAAGAGCAGGGGTCATGGTCCTCCCCCCCTGCTGTGCTGGCTGGCCCGGTCCATGGGAAAGCTGAGATGGTAATTGAGTCTAAGCATGGTAGCCTGTGTCTCTAATCTCAGCTCATGGGAAGCTGTAAACAGGTGGATCTCTATGAGCCCGATCTAGTAGTGAGACCCTGAACACCCTGTAGACCCTTCCTTAAAAATAAAAAAATTAAAAAAGCAAGAGAGAGAGAGAGAAAAAGAGGAGACTAGGGGCCAGGGAGATAGCTCAGTAGAATAAGCATTTGCTTGGCAAGCTCAAGGGCCTGAGTTCAATCCCCGGTTCCGAAAAAAAA